TGCAGTGTAAAAGTAATTACTTACATACAATGAGGAATAAAATAAAAATATGTTGTATGTAAATATAGCCAGAAGATCATCTCAATAAATGGATCGATTTGATCAGAAGGCTAGTGGAGCAGAATAGCAGTTTTGAATTCCAGTGAAAAAGCAGTGTACGTACCCAGAAAGTACAGCACTATTCAGGCTATCTTGGCACAGAACTGTTGGTAACAGGCACCTAACAATGTGAATGGATTTATCATGACATGGGCTGGACCATGCAGGAACAATCACTGTGCACTTGAACAGTTAGAGCAATCTTACTGTATGTCTTTTGTGAGCATTGGCACTGTGTTTAAAAAAAAAATAGAAAAAAGAAAAGAAAAAAGAAAAGGATCCTGAGGCCTTTATACATTAAGTTGAGGGCCTGACTAGATGATCTGTGAGTTAACTAGGAGGTCTGAGGCTGCTCTGGTGTGCAAAGTCCCCCATGTAATACCAAGAGGAGTGCTTGCTGAAGGTGTTTCTGGGACATGAATTGGGAACATGATTTGTGGAGGAACTTTGAAAGAGATGAAGGTTAAGCCTGGGTGTGGGTGATGCTCATGGGCTCTATGGATGCAGCATACCTCTCTTGTGGTACTGTTCCTCAGGTTCTACTTTGCCCACCCCAGCACCAGACACAGGAGACAGTAGTCCTCTTCCAGCTTAACTTACTCCAGCAAAGCCATATCAACACAGAAAGACAATGGGATGCACCTGACCTGTGAAGAGAGAAGAATTCTTTCCTCCTGGGGAAATCCATACAACAAACATGATGTAAGTGTGAGCTGATGAACACATCAACACACAGTTCTTGCATGGCATCAGCACAGTGGGAAGGGAGCTATGGTGGAGCCAGCAAACTTAGAGGAGAAGATCTGAGTCATCTGTGTGTTGCAGATTCTTGGGATGGTTAGATGAGCCATAATTTAATTAGAAAAATTGATAATTTGAAAAAATAATAATCATCAGGCAGGTGATCAGGCTGTGGAACGGGCTGACCAGGAAGTGGTTGAATCACCATCATCCCTGGAGGTGTTCAAGAAACATTTAGATGTTTTACTGAGGGACATGGTTTAGTGGGAAATATTGGTGATAGGTGGACGGTTAGACTGGATGATCTTGGAGGTCTTTTCCAACCTTGGTGATTCTATAATTACATGATCTTATTTTCTTTCTACCCCGGTATTCATTTCCTATCCCTCTGGTTTCTTTCTTAGATTTCAAACCCAAGTCTTCACTGTGCTGATGCTAAACATGAATGATTCAAAGAAAAGTTTCAGACAGAAGAAAATTTTTAGCTTTTTCCTTCTTGTTATATAGACTGTAATATAAATAATTTAAGAATATATATATGAACAGTTTATGAATAAGTGAAGGAATAAATATATCACAGGATCGTACCAGATAATGAATGGAAACATTTCAGCTTTACAAGTGAATTTCAAAAATATTTGGCAGTCCAGTGCATTTTGTGAAAAATGCAAAACTCAGATATCCACCCAAGATTTCTGGACATTTATCTAACGCATCCCAGAATGCTAATGGTAGGAAATGTCCAGGAAAAAAAAAAGTCTTTGTATGGTTTCCAGTATTTTCTAACATCCTTTAGAGCAGCAGTGCCCAAAACATACCTGTGGTATTTTGGTAATTCCACTTTTGCTGCCACAGATTCCACATAGTGCCAACATGTGCAAAAAAGTAAAATTAAACACCATTCCTAACCTCAAAAAAACTTCATATTTGAATCATTTATGCTTCAGGGAAGGGCTCAAGTTAATTGGTATTTTCTGTGAAGTGTCTCATTTATCTTTACTTATGATTCCTCCACAGCTTTTGTAACAACTCCAATGCACTTTGTACAAGCTGGACTTGTTGCACTGGTATTTTTCACTGTTTAGAGAAACATATTATGCTTTCTCAATTCCTTTTCTAAACGGGATATTATGCAGGACTTTCTTATGCAGGTAGGTACCTTGTACTTTGGGATGACCAGTAGGTCCTTATTCCTAAGCCTATAAAGCCTATATACAAGCCTAGCAATAATGAAGATTTTCAAATGTCTAGTGATAGATATCAAACACTTTGGAATGCAGTGGATACTGTGTAGAATTCAGCACAGTCCAGACACTGTGTGTCAGTGTTATATGTTTGTTTGATTTGTGAAGTCAACGTGGGTCCAAGTTATGACAAAAATCATCAGAGGACATCACAATGTTATCAAGTCAAAGAAAGTTTGGGTGAATACTGGATGCAGGTGGAAGTTCCATTGGAAACCCTCATCCATGAGGAGGTATGGGAAAAGTACAAGAAAGGTGGTATATTAGCTAGAGAGAACATATCAGCTGTTTGAGATCCAGGTTGTTCTGTGATAGTGTAAGAAGCGTAGTAATAACCCAATTAGCACTGACAATAAAATGAAGAATTCTGGATAAAAATGTACCTCCAATATTATTGTCACAAAAAAGTAAAATAAAATAAAATGAAGTCAAGCAATTTTCAAATAGTAGGCAGGTATACACTTCAGCAGGTTAAACAGACAAAGACTATTTAGTTAAGAAAATTATGGCAGATGTATAAAACAATGTATGATACAGGCAAGTCTCCTATTTCTTTTTTCTCCTAATTTACCATCAGCCAAGAACAAAATGTAACCAAAGAAATCTTAAAGGGCAAAACAGTAAAAAGAGATAAATAATAATAATAATATTTATAATATAATAATATAGTATTTATAATATAATAATAATAGTATTTTTCACATCTATAACATCCTTCCTTGACTAATTTCAGATCACACTAATGAGGTAAGGCCTCAGATTTACACTTGATAAGACTCAGAAGTAGGTGATATGGAAAGATCATAAAGAAAGTTTGTGCTGTAGTTGAGAGAAGAACCTACTGTATTTTCACAGGCTCTAGACAATTTAGAATTGAACTATATAGTTGTTACAGGGCATTGTTAAAATAAATGATGTAGAACTTTTGTGTATGCAGTAAGATTTTTACATAAACAGTAAATCAGAAGGTAAACTCAATATATGCTTTTGTGGTAGCACATACATGATTTTAATTGCATGTGTATCATAGCAAGAGAGCTAGGAAATCCCCTAAGGAATCAGGCCAAAAGGATGAATCCTATGGAATTAAATACTTTATAATAATATCCATAAATACAAGCTGTGTGACTCATTCACAAAAAATAAAAAAATAAAAAAAAAATAAACACATTGAATTATCAATAAATTTTCATCACATAAAGATACTGTGGAAGAGTGACACTGGAAAACAAGCAAAATATCTCAGTTGTTTCCTTTTTCCCAGATGCTAAAAGAAAGAATTGTTTTCTTGTGGAAGCAAAAATTATATTTTGTCTGGAAATAATTTAAGCTTTGGTGACACAACATATGTTTCAAGCCCAATTTAGTACTGGTACTGTCCTTACTGGTAAAGAAGCTACTAAGGAAGAAATTAAAGTGTGTAATTAATGTTACAACATTACATTAACACATAAATAATTTCTCTGGCAGGTCATACGATTCACATGCATATTTTATTAAACTGTAAGAAATAATTTTCTCTGTGACCCTGATCTTCCTGCATGCTTTGAAGTTTGAAAGCCAGCAGTATAGCCTATAAGTTTAAAGAAATTTAGAAAGAATTGTGAAGTTAAAAGGTACTTTTGATGTTTGTTCTTTCTCTTCTATCGCAAGGGCATTCGATTCAGAAGTAGAAAACATTAATGCCTAAGAAATTTCCATGGCAATCATGCTCATTTAACTCTTTCTAATCACATAATATAAAAGACTGGAGAGAGCTATTCACTGAGCAGAGGCACAAAGATAACACTAGGAATTTCCTGTTTCAGTTTCCACCAAGACTTCTCTCACTGTCCCTCCACAAATTGCAAGCAGTTACCCCTTGCACTGAAAATAGCTGCCAGACAACATGGCAGCTTTTCACATGGCCATGGCTGAATTTAGAGAACATCCTTCTGCCTCAGAAGTATAACTAGTCTCTGATCGCAGAAGAATGTCAGATTGCCAGGTATCCCAGGCTCCTTTGTCCAAACATCCCCACCATCCGAATGGTTGCATCCACCAATGCACTGGGCTGCAGTGGGCACATCTCTATGGTGTAATGGTGACATGCAGTGGACAGGAAGAATTTTAATTTCTTTCATTCAAAGTAACTTGCAAGTTATGGGGCAAGGATGACTGGGCTATGAATATCTTGCCTTTATCTTACTCGTTCTCATCACTCGTTAAGTTTCACAGGAGCTGAGTCTGTTTTCTGGCACATAACTGGGGGAAAAGTACAATGCAATTAAGTGGTAATTACTGAAGTTAATGGTAATTTCCCAAAGGAAAGACTTTCATTTTACAGTGGCTACATCCATATACACTCACAACAAATCTGACCAGTACAACCAGTCTACCACAGAGTAAATACCTCAGGGCAAATATTTCCTCTTCTACTGTGGCAAAGCCAAAGCCTCAAACTAACAATTGATTTGATTTTTTTGTAGTTATTCTTGGAAGTATTCTCAGTTTTGAGTTGAGAAGACAAATGCAAGTAGTGAACATAAATGTTTCAAGGGAGGACTTCAGATAGCAAAAAGTTAGAAAAAAAAAATTAAATATCTTAGCAAAGGTTATAAGCCCAGCTCTACCCCTTCCCCTGAGCACAAGCATTTCAAGCAGTCCCACCCACCTTGTACAGTTAAGTGCAATTCCCTTTAACATTGCAGAGTAAGAATTTATAGGGGTCATGGGTTATCCTTCTCAATACTGAACTCCATCTAGTACCTACAGAAAACAAGAAACACACCCACAGGCTCTGGAAATAATCCCTACATATATAGCATGAGATTGTGAAATGCACATTTAAATCAATTACTCGTAATAATAATTTCATAAAGCAGATTTCTCAGAAGTATTGATTTAAATTCCTGCTGAACTGTTAAATGAAATTACCTGGCCACCAAAGATGAAGCTTCCAGTCTCCCAGTTGGTGCAACAGTCTCTGTTCGCCAGCTGTATTGTAATAACTGAAAAGTTAACATCTCTGACTTCATAATTATTTGAATTTTAATGAACGAGATGAATGAAATCTTTCTGCTTAGCTGCTTACAATGTGAACCAGCCTGCATTCCTGAAAGATAAGAAATAAAAAGATTATGCTTATTCAACAGCTTTTCTGTGTGGAGACATAGGGAGGAAAAGAAGCCAGGTTTCTTTGGAATTCAAACTCATTATTAAAAAAAAAAAAAGAAGGGAAAAAAAAAGATAATGGTAATTACTGAATATGAGTTGTTGAATTAATTAGTGACTTTGCAAACATATCCAAAATGAGAACATGGGTCTTTTACCATGTCCAGGGACTGTGTGCTTTGCTAAAGGGTGGCCTGCCTGGATGTTCCAGCACATGCATGTATATATTCATCAGCACATAATTCCCTTGTAATCACACTGCTCCAAAAACACAGTTGAAAGAGCATGAAAGAACACATAATTTCTGCCAGCTTTCATTCTTTTCTCCTTGTTGCCGAAGCTTTTATCACCCTCACTGGTATCTACATTTCACAGAAAAAATACTGAACATATTTTAAGTTTCCCATTTCCCTCAGAATGAAAGGAATAGTGGTGTGTTGATGCAATTTGCCAATAACACTAGCAAAATAAATAGGAGATAAGTGAATTGTGAAGTTGGCTCATTTCCAGCCTGTAATTTCATTGTCAGCATGGCAGATTTTCAATACAGACATATCAGATCTTCTACAAACAACGAAGTAGAAGGATAGGACTATTCCTAAAAATCTTTTTTGTTCTGTATTTAAAACAGACACAGAAGTACTATATAAATACATACATGCAGACATATATGCAAAGACTCACTCCACTCACATCAACACTGTTCACCACGGAATTTTACAAGTCTATGTAGGGAATTAGCAGCTACTTAGGGATTTAACCTCATTTTTATGCAACAATTGCAATCAGAGCTTAAATCAGGAGTTATGGATGAACTAGATGCACGTGCAGATGTTCTATCCAACCTTCCTTTTCCTGCAGCAGGCTTTTTCATGTTAAACAACAGAAGCAATGTTTTAAACAATAGGAGATGTGTGTCGATACATTCGTTTCCTTCAGACTAAGCACATCACAATTTCTGGAGGATCAGTAGGTTTTTATGTTGCCTTTTTTCCCGTCACATATTTTGCTTCTTGTGGAATATTTAGTGTGGTAAACACTGCTGCAAAATGCCCTCATCCCCCCCAGAATTATAGAATAGTCTTGGAAGGGCAAAAAAGTCCCTGTCGCATACTTTTAAGTTAGAATATTTTTATTTCCTGTGTAATTTTGATTTCGCTGTGAATCAGAACCATCTATGATAAACAGAAAGCGGAACTGGAGTTTGCTGATATTATGGTCTGCCAGGATAGGGAGCTGTTTTTGCAAGTCTGAAGAATTTTATACCTCTCTGATAGCTTGTATACCATCTGAATCTTATTAAACTGCTTGTGACCGATCTGGAGACTGAAGCCTGAGCCTTTATATGCAGGCAACCATATTGCTAATAATAAAATACCCTTTAATGAACCACAGCTTCAAAAAGAAATAATATCAAACTTGAACATCTTCTTGGAAAGTATTTTACTCTCAGCGTTGATGAACAAAATAAACAAAGAGCCAGCAATCCAACCCTGGTCTGCTACTTTTGTTTCAGGATGTATTTTGGCTCCCTGACTTGTCTTTGATCTTCTGTGTCCCAAAGATGGTTGCCACAGACCGCTGCCAAGAGTAACATCCCAGTTTGGTATCTCGTAGACACAGTTGTAGGTCAGCATTAGGGCTACCTGGCAGCAGTCATTGCACATACAATAAAATTATCAAAAACATGCAGATCAATGTTTGAGAGCAAGCAGAGTTGCTAGGAAGTGGGTTACATGACGGCATGACAGATTCAGCACTGTTCTTTCCCCAGCTGCAGAAAATGCTCAGCCATTCCTTAGTTAAGGCCACACTAAAACCATAATTACGTCCCTTACTATCTTAGTATTACTTGCTATCAGTGCAGGATTTTGATCTAGCTCAAAGGACACAGAATCATACAGATAGCAGTATGGAAAACTCCAGAGATTTCGCAGCCCATATCACATTTTCAAACCTGGATCAGCAATACCTAGGATATTTTAGAAAAGATGCTCAATACTGAAAAGGCCTAATGCAAGAAAGAATGTATATATAAATCTAGAGATCAGTCAGACAGACAGCATCTGAATAACGCATCATTAAATAATCAACTTGATTTAAAATCTTGACATTTGCCTATCATAATTTTGCCTCCTTTTGTTCATAGACCACTTGCTCTTTACTCCCTGGAGGTTTCCATAATTCATATTCTGGTTGTGCTTAAAGATGACAGGTAACAATTTTCCAGTTATTATTAATGGCTGTTTCCAGGGAGATGGTGGAGCCACGATCCCTGGGGGTGTTCAAGAGCCGTGTACATATGGCACTGAGGGGTATAGTCAGTGGGCATGATGGGGATGGGTTGGCAATTAGGCCAGGTGGTCTTCATGGTCTTTTCCAATCTCAGTGATCCTATCAGAGCATAGAAGTTCAGATTTTTCTAGCTGACTGGAGTTTTAGGCATTAGGCATTGATATCAATAAGCTAGGAGGAACTTTTACTGAGATCTGGAGATAAATGGCCACTGATTTTTTGGAGATTGCATCAGATCCTGTCTGTGTATATCTGTGAAGGTGTGTATGAGTGTGTGCATGTGTGCACACATCCTATATACAGGGACACCCACATTTGTTGCTGTTGCTGGGCTGATACAGCGAGAATATGATGGATTTCTATAGATGTAACTGTGGCAATCCTTAGCTTCAAGTAACATCCACCAGATTATATCAAATCAGCAAGGGAACCTGACTGCAGGGGCAACGTTCTGTGGCTTTTGGTGGCAACATTGTTCAAACCTCCAAGTGCCCCAAGGTGTGACTGTTAGGGGAGCTGGCAGCAGCAGAAATCCACCAGGGACTTCAGGCAGTGTCTGTGCAGCATCCACACCTTCAGACAGCCTCTTGCTGTCCCATGTGCAGAAGGAACTAAGCATAATAGCTGGCAGTGACAAAATAATTCTGACCCAGGAGCACGTCAGTGTTATAAATGGGCGGCTACAATGTTGTTAGAATTTCAAGGGGAAAAAGAATCCTTTTGGTCTGACAATTTTCATGCCCATGAACATTTTATTTTTTAATGATTGTAAGCACCTGAAAATAAAGACTTTCAATGTGTTCTCTCCTGTAGTTTATAGAATCCATAGCAAAATAATAATACAGACTTGGTTTTTAGTCACTGTTCAGTTTTGCCTTTGTGTGAAGTGCAGATACCCATTATTTTGCACGGGTATGACATTTTACATGGAAACATTATGTTCCTTCTGCACCTTTTAGACAGAACCAGAGGGGTTTGCAAATACCTCAGCTGACTGTCTAGAAGGTGCAAACTAGAGGTGAGCTGTAATTTGGGTACACAAGCCCAAATACCACAGCTGGGGATGCACACTTTTAAACCTTTACATTTAGACAAATCCTGATCAGAAGCAGTAAAAGCACAAGTGAGTTAGCGACAGGGACTGGTGGAAAACAAAACTCTAACATGGGAATCATTCTGCGTGATAATAACATTTTGTAATCACAGCTTAATTGGAAGCCCAACTGGCAGACCTGAAATTAGGGTTTGGCTAGAATGCTGCAACTTTGCAGTCTTTGCTTTATTTTCCAGACCAAGAGTGCATGTCAGTAAAGCAAGTAGACTGTACTCAGCTGTATGGCAGGATTATATTATTGGGTAACAAGGTATCACTTCTGCATAATTATTTGCAGCAACAATTCATTTTCTCCATGCGCTGCTGCAAATTTGTCCATCTAAACATCTCAGGAGAAACATATGAGCCTTTCAATAAGCCAAGTTTTAGATAAACAGCATTTCATTTCCAGTGTGAATATTCAGTGACATAAGGAGGTAGAAAGAAACTGAGTGCCCACAAGACAGATAACAGGGATGCTGCCTCTCTCCAGGATTTGGCTCACATTTTAAAGGCAGCTTGCAGAGAACTTCTGGCTATTCCTTCTCAGACACTTACACACAATTTAAAAAGACCTAACCCATCATCTTCTACCAGAGGCTTTCATGACATTCTACTTTAGTATTTTGTACTTCATCTAGGCAGCGATGATTAAAACCCCTGCCTGCTACAGGCAGTATAGTCCTGATTTACATGGTATTTGCTCTGTTTAATATATATTTTTTCAAACCTGATCCTTTTTGAAATTCTGCTTCCTGTGCCAGCTTTAGCTCTCAGCAAAGCCCCGGAGCGTTTACATGCAGTGTGCCATGGCGCTGCGAGGCGGCACGGGGCTGCACAGAGCCCATTTGTGGGTGTTTTGGAATTATGCGACCACCCACAGAACTGCAGGATGCTTTTGAACAAGAAAAAGCACCTCTCCCTGCTACATACCTTTACATTTGGATTTCCTGTGCAATTACAATTTCGCTGTGAATCAAAACCATCATCAGAAAACAGAAAGCAGACCTGGGGTTTTTGATCTGTTATGTTGTGCCAGGAACAAGAGCTCTTCTTGCATGTCTAAAGAGAGCTGTATCCCTGCAACTGCACATACGAATCTTGTTAAATTGCTCACGACCAAGTGGAGGACCAAAGCTGATTCTCATGCAGGGCATCCAATATTAACAGTGGTGTGGCTATCAGCAAGGCCCTCCAAAAACCACTTCTACTGTATAAACCAACTGAACAATTCCTGCAAAAATTCACCAGGGACCACGTTATCCTGGAGCTTTAATTTCTTCCTGTTAGCCAAAAACCACCTAGTAACAGTTTGTCTCAGCCATTTAGCATTTCAGCACATCACACATGAGTGCTCTGTCCTCATCCTGGAGCTTGATGATTTACTAAGGCAGAGGAGGAATAATGCTTCCCATGTTTTAGCTCCCTGTCTTCCACCTCGGGGCACTCTTCCTCCTCCTGATGCTCCACCAATGAGGTAAAGACAGCCCTTCAACCCTGCAGCATGTGTCTAATTCACCCCTATACCCCCCTACCTCTTAATTCTCCCCTTGGGGAGCAAGGTATTTTCTCTCTCATTTTTGTGGATGTGAGTTCGGTTAGAGCCCAGCTTCCCACAGTGCTTCTTAGAGTAATGCCAA